TGGATTGCTTCAGCAGACAGAGATTCCGGAGTGGAAGTGGGAGCGGATCACCATGGACTTTGTATCTGGGCTCCCACAGACTTTGAGGAAGCTCGATGCCATTTGGGTTATTGTGCATCAGCTGGCCAAGTCTGTGCATTTCATCCCTGTGTGTATTACATACTCTTCGGAGCGGTTGGCGGAGATTTATATCCGGGAGATTGTCCGCCTGCATGGTATTCCAGTTTCCATCATTTCAGATAGAGGTACTCAGTTCACATTGCGGTTCTGGAGAGCCGTACAGCAGGAGTTGGGTACTCGGGTGGAGTTGAGCACAACATTTCACCCTTAGTCGGACGGACAGTCCGAGCGCACTATTCAGATTCTTGAGGATATGCACCGTGCATGTGCGATTGAGTTTAGGGGTTCTTGGGATCAGTTCTTGCCTTTGGCGGAGTTTGCCTACAACAACAGCTATCAGTCCAACATTCAGATGGCACCGTACGAGGCCTTATATGGCAGGCGATGTAGATCTCCGGTGGGTTGGTTCGAGCCAAGTGAGGCTAGATTATTGGGCACGGACTTGGTTCATGATGCTTTGGAGAGAGTCAAGGTGATTCAGGATAGACTCCGTACAGCCCAGTCCAGACAGAAGAGTTACGCGGACCGGAAGGTTCGTGATGTTTCCTACATGGTTGGAGAGCGAGTTCTGCTTCGGGTTTCGCCTATGAAGGGCGTTATGAGATTTGGGAAGAAGGGGAAGTTGAGTCCGAGGTTTATTGGCCCTTTGAGATATTGAGACGTGTTGGGGAGGTTGCTTACGAGCTTGCCTTACCTCCCAGCTTGGCAGGAGTTAATCCGGTATTTCATGTTTCGATGCTCCAGAGGTATCATGGTGATCCGTCGCACGTGTTGGATTTCAGCTCAATCCAATTGGAAAAGGATCAATCTTATGTTGAGGAGCCAGTGGCAATATTGGACAAGCAGGTTAGGAAGCTGAGGTCAAAGAACATTGCATCAGTGATGGTTCAGTGGCGGGGTCAGCCGGTCGAGGAGGCGACCTGGGAGACCGAGCAGGATATGCGCAGCTAGTACCCTCATCTTTTCACTATGTTTGTCTTTGTGCTCGTTCGAGGACAAACGAATGTTTAAGTGTGGGAGGATGTAACGACCCGGCCGGTCATTTTTAGAATTTACGCCCTGATCCCCTATTAACTGCTTTTCCCAAGTTTATTTCTGCTAGTCTGAATTGCCGGGATGGTCGATTTTGAATTTCGGAGATTTTTGGGACACTAGAGCGTAAGTGTTGGAAAGTTGACCGTAGACGAAACAATGTGAAGACGGCCTCAGAATGAAAATTTGATGGTTCTGTTAGCTCCGTTGGGTTATTTCGGGTTTAGAGGCGTGGTCGGATTGTGTTTTGGAGGTCCGTAGCTAATTTAGGCTTGAAATGCCTGAAGACTGATTTTTGAAGTTTACGGTTCGATAGTGAGATATTGATCCGAGGGTCGGAATGGAATTCCAAAAGTTGGAATAGCTTCGTAGTGTTAAATGTGACGTGTGTTCAAAATTTCAGGTCATTCAGACGAGATTTGATAGACTTTTCGATCGAAAGTGTATTTTGAGAAATTTTAAGTTCTTAGGCTTGAATCTATGGTTAATTTGAAGTTTCGATGTTGTATTAGGTGTTTTAAGGATTGGTACAAGTTCGGGCAGTGATATTAGACTTGTTGGTGCCATTCGTTGAGGTCCCGGGGGCCTCGGGATGATTTCGGATGGTTGACGGGAGGTTTTGGAATGGTTTGAAGCAGCTGAAGCTACTGGTATCTGTCATAACCGCACCTGCGGTTTGGGTTCCGTAGGTGCGGCGCCGCAGAAGCGGCTCAGTGGTCGCAGAAGCGGTTTTGGAGGCAAAAGGGAATCGACCGCAGATGCGGTCGGGTAACCGCAGAAGCGGCACCGTATCTGCGGTGATGTAGTCGCAGGTGCGGAATCTCCCCCTTAAATGAAATGTCGCAGATGCGATCGGGTTTCCCAGATGCGGGACCGCAGAAGCGGTCCCAGGGCCGCAGATGCGGTAATTGCTGGGCAGATCATATAAATCCTTGCCTTCGCGAAACTTAGTCATTTTTCATCTTTTTTCAAACGTGAAGCAGCTTGGGAAGCACTTTTCAAGAGGGATTTTCAGAGGAGTTCATCGGAGTAAGGTCTTTGATCCCTAAACTCGTTATTGGAATGATTTTTATCAATTTAAGCATGAAAAATTAAGGAAAATCAGTGGTAATTGTGGGATTTAGGGCTTGGGATTAAGAGACTTTGAAATAAGAATTTGAGGGGTCATTTGGGCTCCGATTTCAGTGTTCTTGGTATGTATGAGCTCGTGAAATTGTGAGGATTCGGGAAAATATAAATTTCACTCGATTCCGAGACGTGGGCCCGAGGGGTGTTTTGGTCATTTCACCTAATTTCGTGTATTATCTTAGAATTTAATTGTAGAAACAGTTACTTGAAGTGTTATTTACATTATAAAATTTAATTGAATAGATTTGGGCCATTTGGAGTCGGATACTCGTGGCAAGAACGTGGTTTCGGATTGACAATTGCGTCGGTTCGAGGTAAATAGCTTGTCTAACCTTGTGTGGGGGACCTTTCACCTTATGATTGATATTGTGATAATTGGAATGCCTTGTACGTGAGGTGACGAGCGCGTACTTGTGCTAATTGTTGGAAATCCGGTTTTTTTACTTCATTAAAAATAGTCTTGAATTCTGTTCTTCTTTTCTTGCTTACACTACTTGGAAATTTAGCATGCTGTTAGACTAGAGAGGCATGTCTACTTGACTAAATTGTTCTATTTGACTTAACTGCCATAATTGTATTACCTGAAGCATGCTAGGCTAGAATTATCTGTCTGACATTGGTATGAAAATTGATTGAATTGAGTTCTTGTTGCTGCTGCGTATTTACTTTGGGACTACGGGACGGTATCCCGGGAGCTCCCTTGTATGTTTACTTTGGGACTACGAAATAGCATTCCGGGAGATCCCTCTTCACTTTTACATTAGAACTACGAGATTGCACCCGGTAGATTCCCCATTACTGAGTATTTATATTTGGGACTACGGATGTGGTATTCCGGTAGATCCCCGAGCATTTATGAATTGGACTACGGGACTACACCCGGGAGATCCACAAGATATGACATTTATATTTGGGGACTATAGGAAGGTATCCTAGGAGATCCCCGGTTGTTATCTCGGAGCTGAGCTGTATTCTCTTTCTGTGTTTTACTTGCCTTTGTAATAGTTGTTGGTGTCCTTCATATCCTGTGTCACTTATATACACTGTTTATTTCACACTGTTAAACCTTATATTATTATTTAACCTTAGTAGGGCCCTGACCTTCCTCGTCACTACCCGACCAAGGTTAGGCTTGGCACTTACTGAGTACCGATGTGGTGTACTCATGCCCTTCCTGCGCATGTTTTTCATGTGCAGATCCAGGTACTTCGACTCAGTCCTACCACCCCTGAGGCGAGGCGACTGCTATAGCGACTTCGAGGTATATCATCCGCGTCCGCAGACCGAGGAGTCCCTCTCTATTCTTGCTATTTAGTATTAGCCCTTCTGTATTTCAGTTCTGGTTAGACATTCCGGAGTTAGATCTATGTAGTACTTCTTATCTTGTGATTCATGGGTTTCCGGGTCTTGGATTTATGTTTTGGTTTTGAGAGTTAAATATGGTGTATGCCAAGCGGCACATTTGTACACTGATTATTTCTTATTTCTGTTTTAAATTGTTTTACTTCCGCAAATTTTGGTTTCTTTTTCGCAATTTAGACTTACCTAGTCGTAGAGACTAGGTGGCGTCACGGTGGTTCACGGACGGCGAACCGGGGTCGGGACAGTATGTATGTATATATACCTACCGTGTCAGCTATAATTGATTGGGAATGGCCTAATGTGGCATATCTAATGTATTATGATTACCACCATCGAGCTATAACCAATTGGGAATGGCCCTATATGGCATACATAATATATTATAAGTGAAGGAATGAACCTAATTTATGATCATCACAAGTGTTTTAGTGAACGATCCCAAAATGTAGCTCCACATAGCGACCCAAAGATATCATCAAGAAGACTCAAAAAAATATTTAGAATTGTAAGAGTTAATATGAGTTCATGTAGGATGTTACAGAATCTTTTGATGTATTTAGTTGATTTCATTCCATTTGTCTCTTGTATGAGTTTTTCTATTTGCACTTGCTTTTCTGTCTGCTTTACATATTCGATATAACCCTTCTGTATTAATGTCCCTTTGCCGGGGACGCTGTATTTGTCATATTCCACATAACATGTCCCAATATACAGGTTGGCAGACTTTCTCGCTAAATAGTGGAGATGTTCAACGAAAGGGTTGTAAGCTCCCTTTCTACCTAGAGTTGATTCAGACCCAGTGTCCTCATTGATCTTAAATATTACGGGTAGGTCGGGCATTGTCCCGACGTTGTATCAGTTGTTCAGTTGTAGATATTTATAAAGGCTTCATACACAGTATTGGTGGGTTTACTTGCATTCAGTTCCACAACTATTTAATGTCTCAGGCCAGTGGACATGGTGGTATATATAAGTCTTTTACATTTTGCATTTGCGTTTCAAGTTATGGCATGTAATCTGTTACCTGTACATGTTCGTTGTATATAGAGCATAGTCCACCCCATTCAGACTTGGGTGTGACACATGCTTCCCATCAATATTTAGTTTGATAATTTATGTTCTTATAATCTATTTCGATGGCATTTTTTGTCTGATATTGTAGCAACAACTTTTTGAGGGAGTCGCGTCCACGAGTTTGTTATTATGGTCTATATTTCATGAATATAACTTTTCCATCCCATCTACTAAGTATGCATGAGATTTCATGGAAGAGTTTACTTTGTAAAACTGCAAGAGTTTACACCCATTTGGTAGGATTCTAGACATTAAGTTGACCTAACAGAAGAAAGAAGAACTAATGGACAAAATTCAGCTTTCAACAGAACATTTCTACTTAAACAATAAATCTTCATTACTTTATTAGAGTGAATAAAAAGACTAGATCTTGACCTAATTTATTCAATATAAAGGAAGGGATTAGGCGGAACAATTATACTATGACTTCCCAATAATTGCCTTCCAATAACAGAGACTTAAATAAAATAATATTCAACAAGCTTCCACATATGCATCGTCTTCTTATGCTATTTCTGGGTAGTATGTGCTTCAAGATCTATGCGAAAGTTACACATGAGCTCTGGATACTTGGTGGCTGATAATTTTGGAGTTCTTTGGAGATTAGTATAGTTGACGTAGTAAAGTCCAAATCTTGTGGTATATCCATCTAGCCACTCGAAGTTATCAAGAAGGGACCAAACAAAGTACCCCCTTACATCTGCACCTTTCTTGATGGCATTTGCCAATGAATTTAAGTAGCTATGCAAGTATTTCACTCTATGAACATCATTCAAGGTATCCTCTATAGAAGTACTGTTCCCAGCAAAGCCTGCAACATTGCTAATTATGTTAGTAGTTGTATCCTGACATATCAAATTGCAGCTCGCTCAAGTAATTAGTTGATGAAATGTATCTCATTCTAATGGAAAAGAATGTGAAATATTTTTCTTACCATTTTCAGTTATAAACATAGGAGTATTGTTGAATCTGTCCTTTATATACATCACAACTTTTTCAATCCCTTGTGGGTACACAAATTGCCAGTCCACTTCCCCCTGATTCATTAAAAATAATTCTTTAGTAGTGTAGAAAGTGCAAGTAATAATTTACAGAATGAGATTGGAGATGAGAATACTGATATGATTTAAGGAAACATACAGGTTCCCCGATGTAGACATCGTCTCTTTGAGTAGTCGTTAAATACGAACCCTCTGACCAAGAGTTTCCATGTTCACAGGCAGAATACAAGCAATCTTTGATATAGACAGCCGAATAATGATTGATGCCAATGAAATCTAGGCCATAACTTAACATTCTCAAATCACTCATTTAAAATTTTGGAAGATTAGATCCCAAAATTTGTACCATTTCTTCATGATATCTTCCTAATATAATAGGGTCTAAAAACCTGCATGGGGATACTTAGTCAAAATCATTTGTTTACTCTCTTTCCGATGCATAAAGACCGGATCGTAGAACCAAATTACTTATACAGAAGGCTTACCAATTGGTATAGAATGATCGAGCTTTATTAGTTGCAGCTATGTCTTCTGAGGAATTGTTAAATGGTTCATACCATTCGATACCCATAGTAATGCCAATCATGCCTCCTTGTCTTTTCTGAAAAACAATAGAAAATATACTATATTACTGATATCTTTTTGGATCTTCTAACGAACTTACAATTTCAGAGTCAATTGAAATGAAGGAATTAAAAGTAAAAGACCCCAAACAAGAAGAAAAGAAAGAAAGTGGGATTACTTTATTATGGTGATTTGATAGATAACATAAAGGAGGGAGTTTCCAAGGATAAATTTTTCACTTATAGTCTTCTAAATATAAAAGTTTCTTATTTTACTTCACCAAAAATAGTTAGAGACTGATGATAATATCTTGTTTTACCTAGTGTTCCCTTTCCCTTCTTTAGACAAGCCAACAGTAGCATTGCACTAGAAGAGTAATTACTATTTGGACAAGTTATGCAAGATCATGCCATGTTGAGAGTTGACATGATAATGGAGAAAAGGGAAAGAGCCGTCGAAAAAACCTGATATCTAGTACGGTAAATGCGGACAGCAGCTGCATGAGACAGGATCATATTGTGAGCTGCAATGAAGGGCTCCCTTTCTGAATCCCCGCCAGCACTACAATTCCCAAATATACCAGAGCATCGAGCTGGAGGGTAACTCCCATCTCTATAGCCACTAATGGCCACGAAGCTAGCCTCATCATCGTTATCCAATATTTAACTCTATCTCCGAAGTATTTGAAGCATATTTTTGCAAAATAGCTAAAATCATACCTGAAACAAACCTCACCAACACGAATGTAACTTGTTCATCTTTTTGGGTTTCGATAGAATCTATAACTAACTTTAAGTATAAGAGGGGCCCAACTACTTATTGTAAAGTCCTGTAAGTTATGGACAAGTATTTGGACTAATTAAAATCTTAATGATGCGATTAAAGTGAGCATGAGTTATACCTAGTCCACAAGAGAGTTCTGGTTCATTGGGATGCGTGAATGTATTTATAGTACTTACTAGTTAGAAGTAGTTGAAAGTGATAAAGTGTGTCCATTGAGTTAATTAATGACTCTAGAACTTCATTGAGTTAATATATACCTTGATATTGAGACCTTATAAATTACTGGAGTAATCAAATGGAATGGGATGTGGATGGCTTGTAACCAATTGTGAACCTAAATAGAGTATGTTAGAAATTGTTATAACAAGATTGATATACAAATCACGTTGGTTGATTTAATTGTATGTGCTTGATGTCATTTAAGTATTTGGAGTGCGAGGTAGATGTAAGTTGAGATGTACGTCCCTTTAAAGTATTTTTATGAAAAATACATATTTCCTAAGATATAGAAAATGTTTAGAAATGTTTATATGCAGAATGCATGTTCTTATAAATATTTTAAGATATGTAGAATGCGTGTTCATCTCAAGGATAGATTTTCAGTTGTTTTACGTGATACACAGTTTAAAGCATTGGGCTCCTGTAAAATTAGCCTGTGACACTTACCGTATCCGTGAACTTAGCCAACCACCATATCTGTCCTCAAGATCTTGTGGTATGTCATAATGTGTTAATGTTACAAACGGTTGGATCCCTGAAGTAATAGCAAATAACGAACTCGTCTGAGACCAATATTTTTCTTTTTTTCTACATTTTGGATTATCTAAAGCATAAAATTGTTAGCAATAGAATCAGAACTGACCTTTCAGTAGGAGTGCATCAATGACCTTATTGTAGTGCTTAATTCCGGCCATATTAATTTTTCCAAATCTGCCCTCTGAATAAAATACAACCGACCAAAAAGAAAAAGGATTATCATCGTAAATGACAATTAGGAGTTTATTTGTTTATGATGAAGGAAAGAGAGCAGTAACAGTTTAACTTATTAGGTAAAATTCTTGCCCATGAGATAGAGAAACGAAAGCTATTCACACCCATATCTGCCATGAGTTTGATGTCTTCCTGTTTACATTTTAATACCAAACAGATCAAAACTCTTCCGTCTCATGATTTACGCTTTTATATTATTATTGTTATACACTGCATTAGTCTAACATTCGTCCGTAAACTGATCTTCTGAGACACCATGACTTCTTGGAAAACAAAATTTTATGCCATCTGCCAAGTTCCCTTCATCCAGCTTTGAAATTAGCAACAAACATTTGCCCCAAACCCAACAAACCTTTTGAAATTGGCAAGTTCCCAAAACCCAAACCCAAAGTTGGCCCAAAATATCATTATTATATTTTTTTTAAAATTGCCCCAAACTTTTGTGTTTTATAAAAGAGCCCACCATTTTTTATTTTGTAACAATTCTGCTTAGTCTTCTCGGTAATATGATACTGTATATATAATGTAGTTCATTACAAAAATGATAATTTTGTATCAAATATGGTTTGCTATAATATAATGAATGTTATTGATAAAGGTATTGTTGGGTATTTATGATACTTTTTAGACCTTGTGGGTATAAGTCATGTTTCATTTTTTTTCAAAAAAAAAAAAAAAAGTGAAATATGTTTTGAAAATTTATGTCCAGACATATTTTTATCTTCAAACCAAACTTCACCCAAATCAGATTTTTCAAAACAAATTTGAGAATCTATGTCCAAACGCTAGGTTATAGTTCGAATTGAGCAGTCTTACAAGGAAAGAAGCCCTATAACACGCACTACCTCGCAAGGAAAGAACCAAATGAATATAAAGAGAAAGTCATTCTTTATTTCTAATTTCACGTGAAGTTGGGTCTAGTATAGAATAAACTTGTTTAAATTTTAGTAAATAATTTTAGGAAAGAGAAATATTAAAATATATGGAAAGGCATTCGTAGTCTAAGAAGAGGACAAGCAGGGGCGGCCCGACTAATTTTGTGGACTAAAGTCAAACTTTATGATGGGCCTTAACTTTTTAATTTTTTTTATTATTATTATTTATTTGAAGTCTATCTTTTTTTTTTAGCTTTTCTTAGATACAAAGTTATTTGATTTTCTTATAATCAATAATTCCTAATAAGTATTTCTCAATTGACATTATAGCTAATCCACTTAACCTTTCTTGTGACATTATTGTTCTTTGGTAAGATTTTATCAATTTTAATTTTGAAAACTTCTTTCCGCTGAAGCAACGGTAAATTGAGTTATGAACATTATTCCATAAGTAATTTAGGCATTTGGAAAATAACTAAATCTTTTTATTTGATTAAGTGTATCAATAAAACTGCTATCTTCTAATTGTACTATTTTCCTTAATACTTTTTATTCAGAAAATAAATCTAAACCATCAATATCGAATTGATTATTATGCTTTAAGGAACATTCAAGATTATGGCAATATTTTTTCAAAATTCCAACATCTAGTTATTTTAGTTTTTACTGCCAAATAGAAAATCAAAAATATTTTCATATGCTTCGAATTGTTCAAATCTATTTTAAAGTGAAAAAATAACCTTGTCTATTATATATAAAAGTAATCAACTCTAAAGGACTCTTCGAAAGATTTTGAGATTTCATTATCAACATTCGCATCAAATTGTTACTTCCATATATCACACGTTTCGTATGAAATTCGGGTTCGATATTCATTTCAAGTGAAATTTCCTTAGTAGAAATCATAGCAGTTGCTAATCCTTCTTCTCTATATTTGTTAGAAATAAATCAAACTTTTTCACTTTGCACAGCTCTTTTTTAAACTTATACATAGTCTATTAGGTGCAACAAAAAATGGGCCCTCACAAATACGGGGCCTAAAGCGGTTGCTTTACTTGCTTTATAGAAGGGCCGCCCTAAGGACAAGCAGCATATTATTCAAGAAAGAAATGTATTCAATGAAGTAGGTAAGAATTCGAGATAAACATCCAAGAAAATGTTAGTTTTTTGAAATGCCCTTAAATGCTAAGAACCCCTTAATCCCTGACTAAGGGCCTATATTTTTAGTGTTTGATTTGGTACAAAGTTTAAGAAAAAAAAATTGAAATATGTGATTCTAAAAGCTTGAGGAGCAAAAGCTTTGTGATGCATGATAATTGTGTGGCTATAAAGGCTATTCATTAAAGATAAAGCGGGTGAAATAAAAAGTTTAAAGTTAAATTATTTACAAATATAAAAATGTGTCATTCATTTTTGAACGGGATAATAAAGAAAGTGTAAGATTTAAATTAAAACGGAAGGAGTAATTAGTTTTTGAAGCATTTAAAAGAAAAGAAGGGTGAGCATGAAGTAGATTACCAAATAACGATGGTAGTGATCAACAGCAACATCTCCATTGCTTCCATCCTTAACATGACCTGCAACAAGACCAGTACATGAGTTCCTTTTTCTCTAGAAACACATTAATTAATAGAATTCGTGTTGCAAACATTGAAAGAAAGAAAATGAGATTATTTTGAAAGCTCACCAGCATCATGGGTAAAAACGTCCCAGTTGCTGAGGCGTTTCCCATCACTGAGGAAAGCTCCTTCATACTGCAGAGAAAACAACAAGAGCGGTTAAAAACAGAAAGGTAAAAACAAAAAGGTAAAAACAAATGTGAGAAGAACCTGGTAAGATGAAGAGGCCGTTCCAAACAAGAAATTGCTCGACAATGAAACTTGGTCTGTTAGATGACATGACACCATGAAACCAGAAAAGAAGATACAAATTGCTAAGCAGGTGTGCCAAAACACTGCAGGTTCCATGTTAGTAAGTAAAAAGTACACTGGCCTTTTTAGTGGAAATGACGAGAAGATAATTAGTTGTGGCAAGAAGAAAAAGCAACATCTCTCACGTTTAAATAGAAATAATCTAGAGAAAATAGTCAGAAATATCACAATAAGCACATGACTGTTCCACAGAAGTTTAACCAATAAAATTTACTATTGACAAAATTTTGGATAAAATTCGGGCCCACCATTATCCATACAGGCTTATGAGCTTATATAGTTCTTGTGGTGTATTTAAATTTGAATATTTGGTATATTAATATATATTTTAAGATGAATAAATTGGAGCTGGATGTAGCCAAAGTGACCTCTCTTGTAGAGATTTATTTATTTTGAAATATAAAATGTTGTGTATGTATGTGAATATTGGTCCGCCCAAAGGAAGGTCAATGTTTATCAGAATTACATATGCATCTTGTGGTAATAAACGCGTGATAGTTATTTGGTTTTACGTGTGAATAATAAATCAGTCCAAAGGAAGATTTAATATTTGACATGTTATATGTAATCAGTGTTTGGTTACTACTGTATTGGGAAAAATTGTATTTATATATATATGGTGACGTGTCATGACACGTAGACTGGTCAAACAGTCAAAGAATAAAGGTTGGTTAACAGATACGAGCAACAACAGATACGAGCAACAACAAATACGAACAAGTTAAATGGAGGAGGCGTGAGCAGTCATACAAGTAATTCAACGCTCGTACCTATTCAAGACATTTAAAGGTCAAAGATCGTGAAGAATCAAAGGAATGAATATGAAAGCAAAAAAGAGCCCATATACAGCATTTAATGAGTATTAAATACTGGAAACGTTAGAGAATATGTATTTAACGTATATGATTGCATAACGTAACATTAAATGTCATTAATTGCTCATAATAGCCTTATTATAACAAAGGTAAGGCCCGTATCCCCAAAATAGCTATAAAAGGGGAAGGAACAAACAATTGTAGGGACAAGAAAAATACTATTGGAATATACTTTGATTTACTTGCTTTCTGATCATATTATTCACAAATTTCTTTCTTTACATACCTTTCTGATTATCAGTAACCCGTATTCTTCTAAATTCTAGCTTTGACTATAAATTTATTGTTTGGTTAAACAAATTGGTTCCGTTACCGGGAATGTGATAATCAATTATATCTCAGCTTGATTTTTTTTGTGGAATCAACTATGTCGAACAACAATGACAATATCCAAGGAAACCCAATCAATCAGCAAAATCAAGGAGATCCGCAAAATGATCAAACACCACGAGGCTCACCACGACAATCTCGTGAAGGCACTCTTGAAGGATCTCACACAGAAGAACAAGGTCAATTTGAAAATGCTGAAGCTATGGATGATGCCTTACAAAAACTTATCGCTACTCAGGTTAACAAAGCTTTACAAGCTTTTGTTAGTCAATTACCTGCTGCTCAACCCACTCCTACTCCAAATAACAAAACTTTGGAGAACCCTCGTTCTGGACTGGTTAATTCAGGCAGCGGTGGAACCCCTAGTGAAACACAGGAGGGAGACCTAGGTAATCCAATAAATTCTGATTTACAATATCTAATACTAACATTGCAGAAACAGCATAGGGAGCAAAACGACCGCATAGAACAAATACCCGGAGTACCGCCCGTGATCAAGGGAGTAGATATAGATAAATATTCTCAACAGCCATGGAAGCCAAGTGCCGCCCCTCTCCCAATTCCAAAGAAGTTTAAGAAGCCCGATATTCCAAAGTATGATGGGACAACAGACCCACGAGATCATGTTACTGCATTTACAACAGGAGTCAAGGGCAATGATTTGACTAAGCAGGAGATTGAATCAGTCTTGGTCAAAAAATTCAGTGAAACACTCACTAAAGGGGCACTAACATGGTATTCTCTCTTACTTGAAAATTCTATAAATTCTTTTGCTGAGCTTGCAGATTTATTTATCAAAGCACACTCGGGAGCTCAAAAAGTTGAAAAAAGAATGGAGGACATCTTCAAAATCAAGCGAGGAGATTCAGAGCTGCTCAGAGAATTCGTGGATAGATTTCAACGCGAAAGAATGACATTGCCACGAGTACCTGACAATTGGGCAGCCATAGCCTTCACCAGCAATTTGAATGAGAAGAGTTCAGAAGCCACGAGGCGACTCAAGGAAAGCCTTCGAGAATTCCCAGCAACAACGTGGAATGATGTCTACAACAGATACACTACAAAGATGAGGATTGAAGAAGACATTATTTTACGACATAAAATAGAAGAAAAAGTAAGTTCAAGGTGTGTGGAAAATGAAAAGAGATCCGGTATAAACAGGTACGAGCCTTACATGGGACCTGCGGGAAAGGACTCACGGTCAAGGCAAGATAATCAAAGGTACGATCACAAACCTAGAAATAGGGAATCAGGCTCCTCATCAAGGTTCGGAAATGATCGGAATACACGTGGGTCACGAGACGATGATGGAAGTCTAAAGGCAAGGTTCGGTGGTTACAACTTCAATGTAAGCACCTCTGAACTCGTAGCTGTTTTAAGAGGCATGGGAGATAAGTTGCGATGGCCAAAGGAGATGAGATCAAATCCAAACAGACGAAACCCTGATCATTGGTGTGAATTTCACAACGACCACGGGCATAAAACAGCAGATTGCAGATTTTTGCAAGGAGAAGTTGATCACTTGCTAAAACAGGGGTATCTCACTGAGTTATTCAGTGAAAAAGGTAAACAAGCATATATGAAGAACAGGCAAGAGCCTCCAAAACCACCTTCACCCAAGAGAACTGTCAACGTTATAAGTGGGGGTGAAGAGATCAACGATGTATCATATAAAAAGGTTTCAAAAGTAACAATTACCCACGGGAAGCGGCCTCGACATGCACTGGAAGAAGAGAATATTACATTCAACGACGCAGACGCCGAGGGACTCTTAACTCCGCATAACGATGCACTGGTAATATCTTTACTTGTACATGACACTAATGTGAAACGAGTTTTGATTGATCCAGGTAGTTCTGTAAATATTATTTTGATACGAGTATTGCGCGAGATGCAAGCGGGGGATAAATTGATTCCAAAAGCACATACTTTGTCGGGATTTGACAACTCTAGTGTTGTAACGAAATGGGAAGCAATACTTACTACATTCGCAGAAGGCGTCGTTAAAGACACCAAATTTCAAGTCGTAGATATGGAAATGGCTTACAACATGATTCTTGGGAGGCCATGGATTCATGACATGGATGATGTTCCTTCAACCTTACATCAAGTTATTAAATTTCCATCTCCATGGGGAATATGTCAAATCAGAAGCATCAATTCCGTTGCAGATTCAACTGTTAAGGGTGAAGACAAATAGCAATTACAGAATTTAGGTGGGGGTAACACGGTGTCAACCTCACCTGAACAAAAGCAAACGGATGTGGATTCAAGACCTGATACCATTCAAGAACCGGAGGAGAACGAGAACATCAAAACAACAATAGAAGAGCTAGAGGCCGTGGTGTTATTCATACATTGGCCCGAGAGAAAAGTGTATATAGGAGCTAATCTTAGCCCGGAGGTAAAATGTAAATTGATTGAGTTTTTAAAAGCTAATGCAGATTGTTTTGCTTGGTCCCATTCTAACATGACAGGGATACCACCGGAAGTCATGACCCATAAATTGAATGAAGATCCATCATATCCTTTAGTCAAGCAAAAGAAAAGAAAGCAAGGAACTTTCAAGAATAAGGTGATTCAAGAAGAAGTTCAAAAATTGCTAAAAATTAGTTCAATTCGTGAGGTAAAATATCCTAACTGATTAGCTAATACTGTTGTGGTTCCTAAGAAGAACGGTAAGTGGCGAGTCTGTGTAGATTACACAGACCTTAATAAAGCCTGTCCAAAAGATTCTTTTCCTTTGCCGCACATAGATCAATTAATCGATGCTACTGCAGGGCATGAGCTATTAAGTTTATTAGATGCATATTCAAGCTATATGGATCCAGGAGATGAGGAAAAAACTTCTTTCATAACAGACAGGGGGACTTACTGTTATAAGGTAATGCCCTTTGGTCTTAAGAATGCAGGTGCAACATATCAGAGGTTAGTTACCCAAATGTTTCAAGAACATTTAGGTAAGACCATGGAGGTATGTATAGATGATATGCTAGTTAAGACTCAGCACTCAGAAAATCATATATCGCACCTGTGTGGCACGTTTAAAATTTTACGAAAATATAATATGAAGTTGAATCCAGAAAAATGTGCATTTGGTGTGGCATCAGGTAAATTTTTAGGTTTTCTTGTTTCTAACCGTGGTATTGAAGTGAATCCTGCACAGATTAAATCTATTGAAGAAATCCCTGATATACTTTCAAACAAGAAAGAAAATCAAAGATTGACGGGAAGAATCGCAGCTTTGGGAAGATTCATTTTTAAATCATCGGAAAAATGTTTTAAATTCTTCTCGGCCCTTAAGAAGCAGGATCATTTTGAGTGGGATGAGGAGTGTCAACAAGCACTTAGGGATTTGAAAACATACTTATCAAATCCACCTTTGCTAGCAAAACGAAAAGCTGGGGAGAAACTTTTCATCTACCTGGCTGTTTCAGAAGTCGCGGTAAGCGCGGTTTTGGTTTGAGAAGAACAGGGTAAACAATCTCCTATCTATTATGTTAGTAAATCTTTGTTGGATACAGAGACACAGTATCCACAACTGGAAAAACTAGCACTTGCTTTAATCATGGCATCTAGAAAATTAAGACCATATTTTCAATGTCATCCCATTGTTGTAGTAACTTCATAGCCCTTACGTAATATATTGCATAAGCATGAATTGTCAGGAAGGTTAGCCAAATGGGCCATAGAGATAAGTGAATATGAAATCACGTACCTACCTAGAACAGCAATAAAATCCCAAATATTAGCTGATTTCGTGGCTGACTTTAGCCAAGGGATGCAGTTAGAAGCTGAAAAAGAAGTACAGATACTTAATGGGGCTAATCCAGGAACATGGACCTTATTTACGGATGGCTCATCTAACGTGAAAGGTGCAGGATTAGGAATTGTTTTAGTACCACCTACGGGTG